CTTATCCAACTTGAATCCGTTGTTCCGAGTCCTATCTTGCTCCGATATTATAAGAACTTTATCTATATCACCTTTATTGATTTCTTTCACCCACTTGAATACTTCTATCATATCTCCCCGCACTCTTCGTCTTTCTAGGGAATGCAAGTTTAGTTTCTTTAACTTATCCTGATATGGAAGGTTTCTAGTCCCGGAATCATTTTCGTCATTCTTCGCTGCACCGACTCTAGTAAATTGATATCCATTCTATAATAAGGGCACCAGAACTGAACCGCATAAACGAGGTGCGGCCTGACTAGCGCAAGATATAGATGCAATAAGACCTCTGCACTCTTGTTGCTTACGCTTCCAATAATACAGCCGTGTGTGGAATGGAGTATATATATATATATATATATATATATATATATATATATATATATATATATATATATATATATATATATATATATATATATATATATATATATATAATATAAAGTGTCTGTTGATGTATTTGTGTATAATTCTGTATCGGTAGGTGAGTTATTTTGTACTGTAGGTGTATGAGAGTCTTATGCATGAATAATAATAAATAATAATAAATAATTAACGGTTTATTGAAAGAGCTTGGCAGCCAGAAGGCTGAAAATATACAGTTACATATTTGGGGAATGGGTTTCGAATTACAAATAATATACAAGTAACATAAGAACATAAGAGAATAAGGAGTCTGCAATAGGCCGGTTGGCCTGTGCATGGCAGCTCCTGTCGAGAGTTACTACCACTCTCTATCATCCATGAATCTATCTAGCCTCCTTTTGAAACTTTCCAGAGTTCCCACACTTACTACAAGGTTACTAAGCTTGTTCCACTCGTCCACCACCCTATTTGTGAACCAGTTTCTTCCTATCTCCCTCCTAAACCTAAACTTATCCAACTTGATACAAATACATAAGTGATACAAATAAGATATATAATAACTAGATGGTCTGTGTGTGTCTATAATTATATATGTGTGTGTGTATGTATCTCTCTCTCTCTCTCTCTCTCTCTCTCTATATATATATATATATATATGTATATATATATATATATATATATATATATATATATATATATATATATATATATATATATATATAAATGTGTGTGTGTGTGTGTCTGTTTGTCTGTCTGTGTGTCTATACGTACGCGCGTGTCTTTTCTGTCTGTTTATATATATATATATATATATATAGTATATATATATATATATATATATATATATATATATATTTTCCTTAGCCAACAGACTTCACTTCACCCCTTTTCCCCACCCCCACACTCCACCTCAAGCACACCCACTCCCCTGCACCTGGCCTCCCTCACCCTCATCTCCACCTCACTTCACACTCACCCCCCTTACTCCCTCAGCCCACCACCCCCACCCTCTACACTCCCCACCCTCTCTACACTCCCCAAGCCAGCCCAGAATCGGCGCAAACTTCTACCTTCTTAACGCTACCTTCAGTATTGGAGACCGGCCCCGGGGCCATCAAGGCTCGTCACCAACCCCCGCCCCTCCCCGGCCTGGTCAGATTCTTTGGAACACCTGTCTGATGGCATAAAGTGAGTGACATGACAGAGGGATCTTATACTCCTCTCAAACCAGGTTAACATATAGGCTGTTGTGGTATTGAGGGTGGTGGTTGTTGTGGTATTGAGGGTGGTGGTGGTTGTTGTGGTGAGGGTGGTGGTGGTGGTGGTGGTTGTTGTTGTTGTGGTGAGGTGGTGGTGGCTGTTGTGGTGATGGTGGTGGTTGTTGTGGTGGTTGTTGTGGTATTGAGGGTGGTGGTTGTTGTGGTGGAGGGTGGTGGTGGCGGGTGGTGCGGTGGTGGTGGTTGTTGTTGCTGTGGTGAGGTGGTGGTGGCTGCTGTGGTGATGGTGGTGGTTGTTGTGGTGGTTGCTGTGGCATTGAGGGTGGTGGCTGTTGTGGTGAGGGGGTGGAGGTGGTTAAGCTGTGGTATGGTGGTGATGGTGGTGGTTGTGGTAGGGGTTAATGGGTTCCTGGAAGTCTGGTGGGGGCTGTAGGGTTAACGCAAGGGGCAAAGCTTTGTTCCTAATTTGCATATCAGTTTCATCAGTTCAGAAACAAGCATTGTAGAGAATTGGTACAAATACAGGTACAATACAGGTATACATAACCCTGGTACAGAGGTCAAGGTTTACTCTTCATGGTCGAGGTTCACTGTACAGAGGTCAAGGTTTACTCTTCAAGGTCGGGCTTCACTGTACAGAGGTCAAGGTTTACTCTTCATGGTCGAGGTTCACTGTACAGAGGTCAAGGTTTACTCTTCAAGGTCGGGCTTCACTGTACAGAGGTCAAGGTTTACTCTTCAAGGTCGAGGTTCACTGTACAGAGGTCAAGGTTTACTCATCAAGGTCGGGCTTCACTGTGCCAGAGAGGTCAAGGCTTACTCATCAAGGTCTAGGTTCACTGTACAGAGGTCAAGGTTTACTCTTTCCAAGGTCTTAGGGTTTACTGCAGGCCAGGTCAAGGTTTACTCATCAAGGTCTAGGGTTCACTCGCAGAGGTCAAGGTCTAGGTTCACTGTACAGAGGTCAAGGTTTACTCTTCAAGGTCAGAGGTTCTACTGTACAGAGGTCAAGGTTTACTCATCAAGGTCGGGCTTCACTGTACAGAGGTCAAGGTTTACTCTTCAAGGTCTAGGTTCACTGTACAGAGGTCAAGGTTTACCTCCATCAAGGTCGGGCTTCACTGTACAGAGGTCAAGGTTTACTCTTCATGGTCGAGGTTCACTGTACAGAGGTCAAGGTTTACTCTTCATGGTCGAGGTTCACTGTACAGAGGTCAAGGTTTACTCATCAAGGTCTAGGTTCACTGTACAGAGGTCAAGGTTTACTCATCAAGGTCTAGGTTCACTGTACAGAGGTCAAGGTTTACTCTTCAAGGTCGAGGTTCACTGTACAGAGGTCAAGGTTTACTCATCAAGGTCGGGCTTCACTGTACAGAGGTCAAGGTTTACTCTTCAAGGTCTAGGTTCACTGTACAGAGGTCAAGGTTTACTCATCAAGGTCGGGCTTCACTGTACAGAGGTCAAGGTTTACTCTTCAAGGCCGAGGAGGTTCACTGTACAGAGGTCAAGGTTTACTCTTCAAGGTCGAGGAGGTTCACTGTATGGAGGTCAAGGTTTACTCTTCAAGGTCGAGGAGGCTCACTCACTCACTAGCTCGTGTGTATGTATAAGCATGTATGTATGTATGTGTGTGTGTGAATGTATATGTCTATGTATGACTGTATGTATGTAGGTCAGCAGGCCCCGGGGGGTGTGTGTGTGGGGATCGACCCTGGTTTTCGCTAGTGACGTCGACCCGCCAGCCAGTGTACCAGTCCAAGGTCGTCTTCACACACACCTGTCTCACTGATTGTATGCATGTGTACCCACGTGCAGGTGTTGTAGTGGTGGTGGTGGAGCAGGTGTGGTGGTAGTGGGGTGGTACGTGTGTGGTAGTTGTGTGTTTGTTGTGGTGGTGTTGTGATGTTTGGTGGTAGTGCATATGTTGTGGTTGTACAGGTGTTGGTGGTGGCAGCAGTAGTGGTGGTGCGTGATGGTGGTGACGTGTACTGATAGTGGTAGTGTTTGGATGGTTGGTGGTAGTGCTGGGTGTTTGGTAATGGTTGTAGTGGTAGGATTGTGGTAGGGTGTCGGGATGGTGGTAGTGGTGCGTGATGGTGGTGACGTGTACTGATAGTGGTAGTGTTTGGATGGTTGGTGGTAGTGCTGGGTGTTTGGTAATGGTTGTAGTGGTAGGATTGTGGTAGGGTGTCGGGATGGTGGTGACGTGTACTGATAGTGGTAGTGTTTGGATGGTTGGTGGTAGTGCTGGGTGTTTGGTAATGGTTGTAGTGGTAGGATTGTGGTAGGGTGTCGGGATGGTGGTAGTGGTGGTAGGGAAGTGTCAGGATATTGGTGACAAGGAAGAGGAGGGGAAGGGCGAGATGTGTATGCAGGTAGGAAGACAGAGAAGGAGGATGAAGGAATAAGGAAGAAGGAGAGAGGGAAGGAAGAAGAAGAAGAAGAAGAAGAAGGAGGAGGAGGAGGAGGACCCTGAGTAGACGAGAGCGTTAGAGTCTGGTGGTGTGGCCGCCGTCGTGGCTGGGCTATTGATCTGCCTACCACACCTACAATGGCTATGTCGGGCTAATTTGTTTTCCACACCTACACATCCACACCATCTCATCCACACCATCTCATCCACACCATCACATCCACACCATCACATTCACACCAAGACATCTGCATTACACATCTACACAACCACACCACATCCACATCTATACATCCACACATCCACATCTTCACATCCACACCATCACATCCACACCTACACATCCACACCATCACATCCACACCAATACATCACCCCCCCCTTATAAAACACCACCAAAATAAAACACACCTGCAGTACCTTGAATCACCTGTGTGTAAGATGACCCTCACCCCCCTTCCCCCCCACTGGAACACCCTCAAGTTGAAGGGGGAGAGGAAGGAGAGGGGGGGGGGGGCGACGTTGGTACACAGGTGTCAAGGTTATGGGAGGTGCGCTGTCAGGGTCTGGGCCACTTCACCCCCCTCCCGACCCCTCCACCTCCACCCCGACCCCTCTACCCCCCACCCTACCACCACCGACCTTGTCATGCTAGGGGTCTACAGTTTTTGTCACCCCTCTCCCTCCCAATCCTTCCCTATCTTCCTTCCACATCCTACCCCCTTTCCCCCTTACCCCTCCCCTGCTTACCTTCTTCCCTCCATACCCCCATTTCTCCATTCCTCCCCCTGTCCTCCTCCCCCTTCTACTGAGTCTTGGGGGGAGGGGGGTAGTCTCGCTACTCTTGGAGGGGGGAGGGGGTCTTCTTTGTTCGTCTGGTCTTAACCTTCATGCCCCAGGAAGAGTTAAATAAGGTCAATGTTATTTATTGTGACTTCAGGAACTGTTACTTGAGGTCAGCGTTACGTTTATGAGCCCAGGTTACATACATTATTGTTACTTATATTTGTGAGGTCGGCATCTATCTGGATAAGGTCGGCATCTATCTGGATAAGGTCGGCATCTATCTGGATAAGGTCGGCATCTATCTGGATAAGGTCGGCATCTATCTGGATAAGGTCGGCATCTATCTGGATAAGGTCGGCATCTATCTGGATAAGGTCGGCATCTATCTGGATAAGGTCGGCATCTATCTGGATAAGGTCGGCATCTATCTTGATAAGGTCGGCATCTATCTTGATAAGGTCGGCATCTATCTTGATAAGGTCGGCATCTATCTGGATAAGGTCGGCATCTATCTGGATAAGGTCGGAATCTATCTTGATAAGGTCGGTATCTATCTGGATAAGGTCGGCATCTATCTGGATAAGGTCGGAATTTAAGCGCTGTGAATACTCCAAGTTTACCGACATTTCCCCACGGTTATTACATTCAAGTTTGAGGGAAATAATAAAATTTATTACGAATTGATTGGTGTCTCGGTGTCTGTCTCGGTGTCTGTCTGTCTGTCTGTCTGTTTCAGCTGTTACATGGAAAGCTTTTTGGATACATTTTTTTATCACCTGAGGATTAACTACCCAGGCTTATTTTACCTGATAATTTAACTCCCTAACGTTAACTGGGGGTTAGGTTTGTGTTAAATTATATTAGATTGGCATTAGGTTAGGATTAGGTTATGCTAGCGTTAGATTAGGTTAGGTTAGAGTAGGTTAAGTCCGCTAAGGTAACTTTAGGGTATTAAAAGATCAGGCGACATAAGATAGGGAGGGGAGGAGTGTTAATCTTAAGGTAATCCAACATTCTTCTCTTGCTGTTAAAGGTGACATTCAAGGTCACCAAAGTTCACGGAGGTCACCGTCATCAAATAGTAGACACGAAGGCTGGTTGGCTGGCTGGGGTCGGTCCCTCGTTGCTGTCATCAATAGTTTTCAAGATATCCTAGCCTAGAAGGTCATTTTTATTAGGTCAGAGGTCACAAGAGGTCAACAAAAGGTTCATATCAGTACAATTTGACTGATGTTGATAGCTCGGTCAGTGTTTCAGTGATGGTGTATGGGAGTGTCATTCTTGCATCTATTTGACCCCCTTATCCCCCTGACCCATTTACCCCTGATCCCCTTACCTCTTACCCCTGACCCGCTTACCCCCTTACCCTTGGCGCCCTTAGCCCTTGACCCCGTTACCTTCTTACCTTGACGCTTTTTTCCCCTTCCCTTTCCTTTGGCGCCCATACCTTTCACTTTACTTCTTACCACTTACCCTTTAACCCTGACCCCTTGACCCCTTCCCCCCTGACCCCCGACCGTGTTAATACAGGAAAGGTCACCAACACGCTCTCCTACCCTGACGTCATGACTAACAGTGATACATTATCTACTCGCTGTGGGGCAAAAAATAAAAAAACATTTAGGGAAACTTTTGTTGTTGCGTGAAATACAACTGTAGTAGCAGGAGAGTTGAGGGAGGAGCCTGACGAGGGTAACACCGTACACCAGTTTGTTCTATCTGGTCACGAGGAGTCGACCTTGGCTGCTTCATGCTGAGGTCACTGTTACATTCATAATTTAGTTGTGTTTTTTTTTCTATAAATTCCTCGATATTTTTACTCCCTTGTAATTTATTTATTTTTCTCGACCAATTCATGTTAAGTGATAGTGTGTCAAGGTTTGTTTTTATGTTGTGGTGTGGTGTGGTGTGGTGTGGTGTGTGTTTTTGGTGTGGTGTGTGGTTGATGTGTGGTGTGTGGTTGATGTGTGGTGTGGTATAGTGTGGTGTGATATGGTTATGGTTGTGTGGTTACTGGTTGTGGGTGGCCTTGGTAGATATGGGTGGGGGTGTTCATTGATGGGTGTGGGAGGTGGGTGTGGGGGTGGCCATGGCACCAGGGTGGCGTCACAGCTGTCATGCTTGGTCATGTGGTTACATCATCAGCTGGCGTCATCGATCACGGACGGGAGCTGGGTGGGCGGTGGGCGGGAAACCATATACAGCTATGAACGTTTGTGTCACACGCCGTTGCCCCGGGATAACAGGCGTGGGTGACCAGCTGCCGGGCGTGGGTGGGGGTAGGGGGTGACGAGTAATACTGTGTGTGTGCCGGCAACAATGCATGGCGGGTCGCGTGGTAGTTTACATGACGGCAGTGGTGTGGGAGGTGGTGTGGGTAGTGGTATAAGGTTATTTCTGGTTATCAGTGAGGAGAGTGCACGTGGTAATATAGATAATAGTGTAGGTGGCACTGTAGGAGGGTGTGTACTGAGGTAGGCGGTGTAGGAGGAGGGAGAGACTAGATACATGTTTTAGATGGTGGTGAAGTTCATGGCATTTTAACATTGATGAAAATTTAAGGTACCATTCACCCTTACCCCTCTCTGTCTGTCTGTCTGTCTGTCTGTCCACCTTCACCACCACCACCACCACACCCTCACCACCACCACACACCCTCACCACCACCACACACCCTCTCCCCACCCACCACACCACCACACACACCTTCACCCACCCACACACCCTCCCACCCTCCCACCACCACCCCTCTCCCACCACCACCACACCACCACACACCACCACACACCCACCACCACACCACCACCACACCCTCTCACCACCACACCCTCCCACCACCACACCCTCACCACCACCACCACACACCCTCACCACACACCACACACCCTCACCACCACACACACCCTCTCCACCACCACATACCCTCACCCCTCAGTATGGTGAGGTGACGATGACTAATAAAGAAACTGTTTGTCAAGCGCGTGAGGGAGTCCGCCCTTCATGTCCCCTCAGCATAATGACAGCAGCTTTTAAGTAAAGTTTCAACATAACTATTTATATTCTCTTATAGTAGGACACACACACACACACACACACACACACACACACACACACACCCTCTATCTCCCTCTATATATCTATCTTTCTGGTGATGTAGGTGTGGTAATTTTAATAGTGTAGGCGATGGTGTGTGTGTGTGTGTGTGGGGAGGAGGTGGTGTGGTGGAGAAGGAGGAGGTGTGGTGGAGGAGGAGGTGTGGTGGAGGACGAGAGGAGGTGTGGTGGGGGAAGGAGGAAGTGGGGGAGTGGTGGTGGACAGAGGGAGGTGTAGTGGGGGAAGGGAGGTGTGGTGGTGGAGAGGTGTGGGTGGAGAAAGGAGGTGTGGTGGAGGAGGAGGATGTGGTGGAGGAGGAGGGTGTGGTGGAGAGGAGGTGTGGTGGAGGAGGAGGTGGTGGGGATGTGGTGGGAGGACGAGGAGGTGGTGGGGAAGAAGGAGGTGTGGTGGTGGAGGAGAGGAGGTGTGGTGGAGGTGGACAGGGAGGAGTGTGGTGGGGAAGGAGGGAGGAGGTGTGAATTGAGGTGGAGGTGTGGGGGAAAGGAGGTGTGGTGGAGGAGGAGGTGTGGTGGTGGACAGGAGGAGGTGTGGTGGAGAGGAGGTGTGTGGTGGAGAAGGAGGTGTGGAGGTGGACGAGGAGGAGGTGTGGTGGGGAAGGAGGAGGAGGTGTGGTGGTGGACAGGTGTGGTGTGTGGTGAGAAGGAGGAGGGAGGAGGTGTGGTGGAAGGAGGGTGTGGTGGTGAACGAGGTATAGGTGTGGTGTGGTTAAGGAAGGTGTGGTGGTGGAGGGTTTAGAGGTGGTTGGTTGCGTATAAGAAAACGATTATCATTCCATGTTTACGGTATAGGGTGACGGTAATGGGAGAGAGAGGCAGTCACTACTCACTACCAGGAGGAACAGTGAGTGTAGTGAGGGTGTAAGGCATGCAAGTGTGGTAGTATGATGCTATACAGGTAGTGTTGCTTATTACCCCCTCTCTCTCTCCCTCCCCTCCTCTCTCTCTCCCATCCTCACCAGCCTGGCGCATAACCAAGTCCGTGGTGGTTACATCATGCTTGGGTGGGGGAGGGAGGGAGGCACAAGGTCAATGTTCCTGCTCATGTTGACTCCAAACATTACCTCCCCATCCCCCCTCACAGGCAGAGGATGTACTCACCAACCCCCCTCTCACAAGGAGCAGTGTCAGCACCCCAGGGTCAGGGGCAGCGGAAAGGTGTGACAGGTAAATTTTGCACTCCATACACCTGAGATATAGAGATATACAAGGAAAGATGTTATGATGGGGTCTTGGAAGTAAAAAAATAAACGTTTATATACGAGGTAACATAAGTCAGTTATTGGTGATAGTGATTAGTGGGAAGTGGTGATTAGTGGTGACAGGTGATGGTGATTAGTGGTGACAAGTGATGGTGATAGTGGTGACAGGTAATGGTGATAGTGGTGACTAATGATGATAGTGGTGACTGGTGATGGTGGTGACAGGTGGTGGTGATGGTGGTGACAGGTGATGGTGATAGTGGTGACAGGTGATGGTGATGAGTGGTGACTGGTGATGGTGGTGACGGGTGATGGTGATAATGGTGACAGGTGATGATAGTGGTGACGGGTGATGATGATAGTGGTGACAGGTGATGGTGATGGTGGTGATGGTGATTAGTGGTGACAGGTGATGATGATAGTGGTGACAGGTGATGAGTGATTAGTGGTGACAGGTGATGGTGATAGTGGTGACAGGTGATGGTGATGGTGACTGGTAATGATGATAGTGGTGACAGTGATGATAGTGGTGACAGGTGGGTAATAGTGATTAGTGGTGACAGGTGATGGTGATAGTGGTGACAGGTGATGGTGATAATGGTGACAGGTGATGATAGTGGTGACAGGTGATGGATGATAGTGGTGACAGGTGATGATGATAGAGGTGACAGGTGATGGTGATAGTGGTGATAGTGATTAGTGGTGACAGGTGATGATGATAGTGGTGACAGGTGATAGTGATTAGTGGTGACAGGTGATGGATAGTGGTGACAGGTGATAGTGATAGTGGTGACTGGTAATGATGATAGTGGTGACTGGTAATGATGATAGTGGTGACAGGTGACGATTAGTGGTGACAGGTGATGGTGATAGTGGTGACTGGTAATGATGATAGTGGTGACAGGTGATAGTGATTAGTGGTGACAGGTGATGGTGATAGTGGTGACTGGTAATGATGATAGTGGTGACAGATGAGGGTGATAGTGGTGACTGGTATGAGATAGTGGTGACAGGTGATGGTGATAGTGGTGGCAGGTGATGATGATAGTGGTGACAGGTGAGGGTGATAGTGGTGACTGGTAATGATGATAGTGGTGACAGGTGATGGTGATAGTGGTGACAGGTGATGATGATAGTGGTGACAGGTGATAGTGATTAGTGGTGACAGGTGATGGTGATAGTGGTGACTGGTAATGATGATAGTGGTGACAGATGAGGGTGATAGTGGTGACTGGTAATGATGATAGTGGTGACAGGTGATGGTGATAGTGGTGACTGGTAGATGATAGTGGTGACAGGTGAGGTGATAGTGGT